TCATTGAAAACTGCTGGAAAAAACGGCATGAAATTGTTGCTGTATGCAAATAACTGACTCTCTTTAAATAACACTTTCATTGAGCATCGAAGGGTGCTTCAGTTTATCCAGCATATGGAGGCTTATGCACAGGAGTTGACTAGATCTGCTAATCGTATCGTCTCCTACCAACGACACTCTGAAATGGATTTTCGCGTCAAAAGAGGCGTAGAGATGTCAACCGATCATCGCCTTGTTCTGGGCACCTTTAGAAGTAAACGAGTACCACGTGAAGACGTGGCGGACGAAGCAATCATAGAATAAAATTGGAAATATTATTTTTTGTGGGCAAAATTTGCTAACAACGTCGCACAACGGCTTTATCCGATCCCAGTGATGAGTGCTGACGTGGAAACCGAATGGGAATTCTTTAAGAGCAAGTCATATGGGGCTGTCACCATATGCCGTAACTTGAAAATGGCTTTTCTTTGCGTGCAGGTCGGACACGCAGATACAAGAGGTTCAACTGGCTGCAATCGAGAAGAAAGCTGCATTTCAGAAATTGCTAGGAAGCAAAGAACCCTCGATTCGAACGCAACACGAAGAAGCATGCATGATGGCCGCGAAAACGGCTTAAAGGGAAAAATTTCAAGGTTGGCATTGGTTTCCACCAAAGCTGCGCTCAGTCTCCTCTTCTGTCTGTGTTCTACACAGAGAGAATAGTCAGGTGCTGTCAAGGCGACGAGTGCATAAGCGTAGGCGTTGTCGAGGCAAAAATTTTACTGTTTGCAAACGACCCAATTTTGTTGACATCTTCTGAAACTGGTCTACAGCGCTCTCTCTAAACGTTTTTGGCCGAATGCGTGGTGGGCGGCATGCCAACTGTTTTCTTATTTCGCAACGCGCTGCGCTCTGCAGCAAAACGGACGGGGAAGCAGTAGGGGGCAGGAAGAGAAGTTCACCTTCCTCGGTGTCCTGTTTATTAACGATAAAAAATGGGATAAAGTGAGTGATTTTGCCTCAACTGTACGGGGTATGAATCTGCGCTAAGTCGATCTTCATCCTCATACTTATCTACAGTTATACGCTTTGGACCATGACTGTCAAGCATCGACTCCGGGTACAAGCAGCTAAAACGGTTTTCTGAGGCAACTCGGTGCGCATTCTCTGTCAATACGGTTTGAAGTACATATGTCCGACAAAGTTTTGGTGTACAACCTCTGTTTTTCCAGGTTAAGAAGTCAGACTGCTTTGATTTGGTTGCGTCTTGTGGATTCTTTCGGAAAAAATGCAAAGCGGTTACTACTTGCCAATTTGACCAGATGAAGACCGCGGGGATGAACCCCACCCCCTCCTCACCTCAAAAAAGAGAATAACCTGGGGCAAGAGTATCACAGAAATCTGCCTTAACGTCGAAATACCTTCTGCCAAAGCTCAGACGCTGGTGCCTGATCAGTAACGTTGGAAACAGCGTTTGATGCATCTACCTCCGCGATTAGAATGGATGAGCGGTCATTGAAGTTGATTGACTGATTGCTTAATACTGAATCTAAATATTGAATGCTACCTCATGAAGTTTTAGATCACAGTCTTTAACAAAAATTTTAGTTACATTGAAAACAGTCAATAATGCAAAACTGTGTACAAAATATTTTTTCTAAGCATGCTATGAACAGTTTTTTATGTTTTCGTTTATTGTTTATTCTCGCAATCAACATCATAGAAAAAACTTGCTTTCTGAAACTTTGCGAGCTGACGTTAAGATATAAATTAATTATTGAAGAACTATTAAACAGCTTTAAGTACATGATCTGATATCAGATACTTGCCTGATATTACATGGCGTAAAAATGTCTAATCAGCGTAAGTAGACACATCACACGAACCCAGAGACTAAATGAGGAGCATGCTCCTGTTAAAATGCAACGATCTGTCGTGGTGGCCATGCAATAACAATGGGCATTTAATGGAAGATGAGTGGATTTGTGAATTTATAATCGTATTTACAAAAACCAAAAATCCAGGTTCAGCATTTACGAATTTTAAACTTTAAAGTGTGCTGTGTTCCTAACCGCATGACGCAGTAAGGACAAGTATAAAACAGTTAATGAGATCTCGGGCACCACAATAATTTACTGACGTTGTCAAGGGTCAAATAATGTCATGTCTGACAACATCAAGTCATTAATCTAGTTGCAAACGAATACCGAACTTTTCTTTTCCTTTAAATTCAAGTATTATAAATAGCTTCAGCATGAGAACACCGTCGCTTTCATAAATTTAGCTTTTACTTTAATCCGTGACTTTTGACTACAAAAATTATACCGTTTCTTAAAAGTCGAAAAATCATTTTTAGAATGGTTTGGCAAACATTTTAAGTCGTTCAACATTTAGATCTGATTTAAAATTGCTTATCAGATGTCACAGAACTTGATTTATCATTTGACTGACAGCGTTCCTTCATAAATCATTCTTTATTTCAAGGTTTATATGTCATTCATTTCATAATGTAGTGCCCAGAACTTAAGTTTCGGAAAAGTTGTCGAAACTGATTGTCTTTCTGTTTATAAACTAAAAGTTTAGGCATAATTAAAATAAAAATTTTTATTTACTTTACTTCTGCTTTTTAATTCTGACTTTTCTATTGAGCTTGAAAGGATTAAATAGGATATACATGAAATATTAGTTCGTAGAATTATTCAGTTATCCGCACTGAATTTTTATCACTGCTTTCTGTGCACTGAATACATTTATTTCTCACTTTATGTGCCCTTAAATATAAATCACAGACGTCGAACATTGCTAGTATTGAAAGGCTCTAATTTCAATTTTGCAATTTCTGACCGTTTCGCAACGCTTCAGATGAAACGCGGCACCGTTTCATTTTCGTAGAGACTGAAAGCTAAACATTCATAATTTTTGAAGGTATCTTAGAGGAATTAAAAGTCAAGGATAAATCTACATACCCGTTTCCTCTTGAACGTCAAAAACAAATTCTTAGCAGTGGATTCACAAAAGCTAATAGTGATGACGTGTTTCGTACATAAATAGCGTTCCTTACCAAAAACTGGACACTATCGGCGTAAATGATTCAGCCATCTAAAATATTCTCCATTCAGCGTTTCTGGCAACGCAGCGAGAAAAAATTGAATCTAGGTAAGTTAGGTTGGCGACTCGTTTACTTTAAAATAAATTCGCGAGGGTTTATGAATATTATTTATTGATGATCCAAATCCAAATCTAATAGCCATGTTTTATTCTACTGAACGACATCTAAATCGTAGCGTAGTTCATATTAAAAAATGGCTTGACTTAAGAAAATGCTCAAGGCAATCGTGTTCAAAGTACATTATTCGTCTAAATGAAAAAGTAATTAGAGGGTGCAGAATGGAATTTTCAGCATTTTCATCACAATGTCATTCAACTGCACTCTTAATCAAGCTTTGAACATTAAAATACCTTCGTAGTTCAGGTAGACTGCTGTTGCTATAATTAAGTTGAGACTGCCCTTATATTCTGTTGTATGAATCCCGTGAAAATTTTAGAAGACGGATAAATTTCGCTAAAACTGTTCCTGCTAATAGTTTTATATTAAAAAAAAAATTCCATAGAGAGTTCCGTAGTAGAGAGAATCTAAGGTTAGCATATAATCTTAATAAGAAATAAATCTCATTCATTAGACGACAAATAGTGGTTTGATTTTCAAACCGATATTTTTCGCCATTGTCGGTAGTAATTGAATATCTGCTTCAAAAAATTCATTGCATTCGATTCGACCTTAGCAAGCTCACATAATAACAAACAAGTTAACAGAAACTGAACCAAGGTTTAAAA